TACGAAAACTGTGCAAACTATCCCGCTGTAACCCTGCACAACCGCCGGTTTTGACTGATGAAACCAGTCCTGATTATGCATTACGAACGATGAGTGAGCAGTTCATGTAGAAATAGGTGATATTATAATCCAGCGCTCAGCATAATTTTTTGTGGATAATGGTAAGTATTTCACACCAGTATGGTGTGAGATCTACTGAAGTGATAAAAGAAATTATCGATTTGGGTACAAATAACGAAAATAAAATACTCCGGGAAGCAGATTACTGAGACCAACAGGAACCCTACAGGTTTTGATGTTATTGTCTTTTACGCGGAATTGGACTTCAGCAAAAAATTCCCGCGAAGAATTCTCATCACTGACTTATATTCTGAGCCCTATCTATCTCAGCGTCCCTAAACATCGACAATCCTTATCCCTTGGGCCTCAACCTGGAAAGCAAGCTGCCCAAAATCAAACCAATGACGAGGCTAACTTCTTCATACTCTTACGCCAGCTCATGGATACCCTTGGGTCAAGCAGAGCTCAATGCTACCAGGCTCGTCCCCGGGTTGCAGACTGGGAGATATCTTCACATAAGAAGGTTTTCTGTGAATAAGTTGTGGCATACCGAAACAAGCAGAGGCGGTACTACTAGGGTGTGGTGGGTTTCAAGCTGGTCACCTGGCTCCTGTTTAAAAGCCACATAAGCCCAGTGATGGTGTTGTGACAAAGGTCGATGTGACTGGCCTTTTAAAACTAAATTTATTGACGCCCTCACTTCCGAGGAGAGGGGTTACTTCCTGTTGCCTTGCAGTTTGCACTTGGTTGTGCAAAGGCTAGAGGTGCACCCGCTGAGTGACGCTGAGGACGTCTCTCGTATCAAACTCCCAAGGAACTTCATTATCATGATCATTATCACGTCTGAAGCCGGTTTATCCTTTCCAAGGAGCCAGCCGCAGTAAAGTAAAGTTAAATAATCCAGCTCATGGTCTGACGACCGCGGCGCTTCTTTCAACCTTACTCAGTTTGTGCAAAGGGAGCACGAGAGAAAGAAGATGAGCATACATACGTGATCGAATTCATAGAGTAAGTTAGCATTCTCAACTTGAATAGGTTAGCTATCGCAACCGTAAAGTAAAACATTACGAACTGCGACGATATACATTGTGCTCTTCAAAGAAAGTCAGATATCACTGTGACGATGAATCTATTATTTCTGCCGCGCTACTGTAGTTTGTATCTTCCGAATCTGTTGTCTGTCCAACCGCTGTGACGGTTAACCATATTGTTGGGCACCAGTCACCATTTGTGTGCAAAGTATCCTTGGTGGCGCAAACATCAACAAACTTCTTTTCCTCCATGTCGGATCCTGGTAGCCAAAAGTAATCCATATATGAACATTCCCATGATAGCATTGAGAAAACGAGTCGGTGAGCGAACAATTGTTTTCGGATATTCCTAGTCATGGTCTTGCACATCATATAGTGGAAAAATGCTTACAAAACGACAACCATTGGCTCAATTAATGGTCATTAATTGGAGTCGGAGGAAAGGGGATATATATATGTGTGTGTGTAGGAGCGTTTACTGCGTCAGTGGATGTGACCTTTCGCCATTTGGGTCAAGGGACACGTTCTGTTCTGTTTTGGTTTTCACACTGGGCCCGGGCAATAGAAGCGCTTGAACCAGTCGTTTTTGGGCACACATGTTTGGGCAAAGTAAGCAAATGGCGATCGCCGTGGCCATCACCGGTGTCCAAACTCGGGCCGCCTTCAATCGATTGTGTGGGATGCGATAAATAACATTGAAAGCTTTCTCCTGTTCGATCTTGTGTCCGGTGTCTACGAGATGACCCACGATCGCACTCGAGATTAGGCTAGTCTTCCCCTGACTTAACCATCGCGGGTTGTTCCGTAAGGCGTTGAGACAAACGCCTTACCGCACGATCTATGTAACATGCGCCACAGACGCACTTAAAGGAATAAATTTACATGGGGTCAGTTTCGGCAGTTTGTCTTTTACTTGCATTCTCATCACCGGTGATGTGGAGAACACCGCTCTAAGCTTCGCTGCAGGCCAACTGGAATTTATTGCCGCTCTCAATAACTGTACCAGTGTTATAATTCCAGAATACGGTGTTGGTCGAGAATAATCATTTACTGGGAATTTCAGATGGGACATCACCAAAATGGCACAGCACAAAAATCTAATCGGAAACATACCATCGCAGTTCCTGGCCACACGACAGGTAATGGATGTAGAAATCGATAGTTCTTATTTGAGACCCAGCAAACTGTCCTTAGTGAT